ACCGGTGTTGCGGCTTAACACCGGTATCACCGTCAGCACCGTCTATCGCAGCAAGCCTAATTACAGTACAGGCACGATCTGTTGTAAGATTTTTGCTTAAAGTCAACATACTGATTATTTAATATATTATTGTGCAAAATAGTGTAGTTGAAAGTGTTAAAGGGGTCATATGATGTTACTAAAAAGAACATTATTTTGTGTATTTGGTGCAATGAAATGTGTTTATGCGGTTTAAGGTTAAAAAACACATTATTTTCCACATACTGTACATTATTGTTTCTCCTCTATGCCCCGCCTTTCTGAAAAGCGTCGATTTTTACAAAGCTCATCGGTCTGAAAAGCGAGGTGTGCTCTGATTGGCCAGCTATCCAGTGCATTGTGATTGGCCGAATACCTCAAGCATGTGACAGAAATGTTACACCCCTTACCATACTGTGATGCCCTGTCTGGCCGGAGCGACGAGACAAAAACATTAAAACCCATTATAAACGAGGCATTTGTTGCATCCAGTGGGGACATAATTACGGATTATAATGACATATACTGTCTTTTTACGCGTTGCATCGCGCCGCATAAACAAAAAACCATGTCTGCATTTGTGTTCGGAGAAATGACAAACAGCAAGCGCTACTCTACACTGCTCAAAACTCGCGTTTGAATCGTCAGTGGCAAATTCTTTATATATAAAAAACGTACTTACAGTCTGTAAGTCAGAACAGCCGGCATTGTAGTCTACTCTACCAGGATCAGGAAACAGTCCTCCATAAAATGCGCTGCACACATCTGAATATTTGGGTTAAACTGTTCTGGAACAGTGTTGTAAATACAACTTAACCACTGATTTCTAGTCGTGTCCTCTTTTGGAAGACCAATCAAAGTAGTTTCGCTTTCACAACGAAACACACAGCGTCACACACGGCGGCCTTGAGCGGAGGCCGGTGGGCTAGAGTGAGGAACGACCGGCAGATTCGACGAAGGAGCGGCCGGCGGGCTTGCGGCAACCACATGTGACGACCCCGGACTGGACTCCGCTTCGTCCACAGTGAAAGCCGATCCGGCGATCCACAGCGCGAAGTTGATGTATTTCCTCAGCGACCAGCATGGATCAGCTCTAGGCATGACGAAGCGGATATCGACCTCTTTTGGAAGGCCAAACAAAGTTGTTTCGCTTTCACAATGAAAAACACACGGCGTCTTCACGACATGGCGGCAGCAACAATACTACAGCAAGAATAAAAGTTACGTCTTCTTTCTTTGCGTGAACAGTTGGGCGGCGTTATGCAAATCTTCCCACATCGTGACGTAGACATGTGGGGGCGTGTTAGAATGAGCCGTTTTAGGTAGGCGTGGTTGACTCTTAACTTTTATAAAGAATATATCTTTGGATTTGAGACTTTAGTCTTTGCAACTTTACAGATCTTCTTTATGCACCAAGAGCTTGTAACACTCCAAAGAGAAAGGAAACATTTAAATCGCATCATATGACCCCATCATATGATATAGTTGTAATATTTATATTTACCCCCAGAGGGCGATGGTGCACCTTTTGTAACACACTGCTGGATTTGTCTGCCAATGTAGAACATTGTTTGCACGCTCGTACTCAGTTACTTTCTGTCTTGTAGACTGTGAAGGTTTCAGCCGGGCCACCGCCGAAGCCTTACTCCTGGAGTTTGTGCAGTGCGTGTCGTGCCTGCTGTGCTCCTCCTGTTACCGGGCTCCCCATTGATCAGCAGCTCAGCGCTATAGAAATGTCAGCAGGCAGAATTGACAAAGCCCCCTGTGTGATTTAGATGCAGTGCCCTTTAAAACCTTGTTAGAATGATTAAATTGGCTGTCAGCACCCTGTCACTTTGATTGGTGTGGACTGACAGTTGATTTGACCAGTGGGCAGGTGTAATCCCATAGAAACTGGATTAATATCCCTTCTACATACATCTGTTTACAATAGGTACAGAGAAAAACCCACCGGAGGGTGAAGCCTAGTTCAGCCCAAGGTAGTCATTCAGGCTGCCATTTTCAGCAACCTTTTCCCACCCTCATAAACTCTCCTCTCAGAGATGTCAATGTCAACTTTATTTATATAGCACCATTAAAAACAACAACTGTTGACCAAGGTGCTGAACAAAATATCAAAGCCTTCAATAAAAACAATTACAACATACAGATTATACACACTTAAAATCACTAAATACACAAATTAACTAAATGCTAAAGAAAATAAATATGTTTTGAGCTTTCCCTTGAAATCATGTACCGTAGTAGCAGTTCTAATGTACACAGGTAAACTGTTCCAGAGCTTCGGTGCAGCAATGGAAAAAGCACGATCACCTCTTAGTTTCAACCTAGCCCTCTGAACATTTAATTGTCCCTGATTGGATGACCTTAGAGACCTAGCTGGATTGGAAATGGAGAGTAAATCAGACAAATATCTAGGTGCTAGACCATTCAAACATTTAAAAACCAGTAGCAGCACTTTAAAATCAATTCTAAAATGGACTGGGAGCCAGTGCAAAGAAATTAAAACTGGAGTAATATGTTCTCGTTTTCGAACACCTGTAAGAAGCCTGGCAGCAGCATTCTGTACCATCTGAAGACGGGCCAGAGAGGACTGATTAATGCCCATATAAAGGGAGTTACAGCAGTCTAATCTTGTTGAGACGAAAGCATGAATCACTTTTTCAAAGTCCTAAAAAGAAACAAATGGTTTTACCTTGGCTAGGACTCGGGAGATGAAAAAAACTGGTTTTAACCACAGAACTAATCTGTTTGTCAAATTTGAGAGAGATAGGGAGATGGAGATTTGTTTTAATTTGTGCTGTCAGGCCAGTGGGTGTCTTCAGAAAAGCCTAACTGGTGTTGCACAAAGCAAAGGGGGTATTTTTGTCTTTCATTTCTTTGATGAACTCTTGGGAAAGGGCTGTTCTTCCCAGCACTGTGTTCATTCATTATTTACACTAAATGCTGTCTGTGAGAGAGAGCTTGTGCATGAATGGCACAGAATGAAGAGAAACCCTCAATATTAACCCAGCCCCCCACTTCATCTGAAGTGCCAGACTTTCTATAGGATGATTTTCATAAAATGCCACATGGGTAATTGCATTTCTGTTTAATTGTTAATTAATTTTCTTTTCTCTTGTCAGGACATATAAGAGTGGCTCGGGAGTGAATAACAGGCGGACAGAGCTCTTCCTGAAAGAGCACGAGCACCTGAGAAAGTAAGACCCTGCTTCCTCTGCAGTCTACTTGATGAAATACTCTGAAATTCACAGTAGCACAATTTTTGTGTGAAGAAATTATAAAATTATCATTTCACATTTTTCTTTAATGGGAAGAAGGTGCTGTGAAAAAAATTACACATGGTACACATGAATTTAAAATGCATTTTTTTTAACTCCAGGTTTGGTGTACTTGTTTGTAGGTCTGCAAATTTTGGAATTTTATAATATTTCACTATAAAATAAATATGTATTTAAGATAAATAATATTAGAATAATAATACGGTACAACTGTAAAATTACAATAATATAGATATGTTACAGATGTTTCTTTTATTTTCTAATGTTAAATCATCAAGCTTTTTGGCAAAAACTATAGAAAGCCCTTAAAGCTTCTCTTCTGTTGACCACAGCCTGTTTATATTTACAAGTTTGGGAAGATGTGTGAAGCAGACATCTTACAAGCAACAACCCAGTTTGTGTAGAACTGCAAACCAATCTGCTCCCAGACCCTGAAAACACTGGAAGCATGCGTGTAAATGAACACAGTGTCTTGTTTCACTCTGTTACCCACAGCGTATATATTTATTTAATGAAATTACAGCCCTTCACAATTTGATAGTCACACTAAGCCATATTGCGATTGCTGTTTTATTTCAATTAAATGTTTAGCTCTACATGGTACTGCGTCTTCATCTCAACCCTTTCTGATAAGATCAACACAGCCACTGATAGATCAGTAAAGATAGTGGTACAATTCTAGTCAATCCAAAGATTTTTCAATGGAAGGAAGTAAACTTCAGAGACGCCCACATTCAGGTGGAAGGGAGAGAATAAGACACTCAAAGTGTAGCACTCCATCACCCACTGACTCACGGTGTCACAGCCACTTTGTCTGAGGAATGGAGGAAGGTTACCTTTAATAGACACACTCTCATTCATCAGTAACTCAGCAAGTTACAGCAAGCTCTTTTGCGCTGTTCTGTGTTAAATTGATTACTTAAATTTGTGGAGTCATCGTAAGTGGCTGCCCCAACTGCTTGTGTAGGCATGGGTTGATTTGATATAACAAAGGATGTAAAATTCGCACTGGTTTTAAAACATTAAAATGAATCAATGGGCTGTGGTAAAGAATTTGACAGAATTTGCTCTGGGTCATTTGTTTCATAGCAAAGCCTCACTGTATCAGTTTGCCAGAGGTAAGTAAAAGAGGCCAGTGACAGAGACAAATATTACACACACATGCTTTAAGACTCATATGGATTGATTATTGCCTCAGGGAAAGCTTGGATAAACTAGCTCAAATGAAAGCTTTCTGAGTTTAGCTTCTGGGATCAAACTTAAAAGCTTATGAAGGACTGTTCTAAATTTATTTTAATAAGTGAATGTAAATTGCCATTTGTGTACAAGGCTTGCTTTGACCAATTGAGAATTGTTTGAATAATGAAAAAGTGGGTGTTATGAACCGGAATAGAGTACTGGAAGTAAAAAGTCCATTCATTTTCTCCATAGAGAAATAATACAGACCCAACATTAGCTCTGAATTCTTATTGATCTGATGCTTCTATGGCATTTTAACTTCATTTAAAAGCTATTTAATAGATGAATTCCTTGCAAAGCCTTATATTTGTATATTCTACCATTCAAAAGTTCTTAAACTTTCTATTTATCAAAAAAATCGCAGTTGAATCTATCACTGTTTCCACAAAAATGTTAAGCAGCACAACTAACATTGACGACGTTTACATGCGCACGAATAATGCGATTATTTGCAATAATCAGAGTAAGGATGTTTACATGACAAGAGCAAAGCTCTTCACTTCCGTTTACATGCAATTTCCATTATTCTTATTATTCGCTAAGAATTGTGGTGATTTTTTTTACTGCCATTATTCACACACCCCACTGCACAGCACAAATGGACTCAGAAAGAGCAGGTGTGTTACTGGCCGCTGTTTTAATTTATTTAATGCAAAACCCGTTTGTATGGTTGTATTCCATACTTTTTCGGTGCCATAGAAATGTGATGGCAATTAGTTTGCCTACGCTGGCAGCGAGCTGTGTTTTCCCCAGAAATGCGATGCTTTCTTCCCCGCCATCGTTTCTAATCTGCGTTTTATTACAGGTGCGCGTCACGTCATTCATGTATGTCACAAGCACATGCGCACTTTGGTCAGAGCGGCAATACTGTGATTAAGGTGTTTACATACACCACCTATGTAAATACGATTATGCTTGCTGCGATTATGAGTTTAATCGCATTATTTAAATCGAAGTCTTGCGTTTACATGAGGTAAAGTTTAATTGCAATATTGTCAAAATCTAATTCTAATCGCATTAAGAGGGTGCATGTAAACGCACTCAATGATAATAATAAAAATCTGAAGAATCATGTGACACTGAAGACTGGAGTAATGGCTACTTTGCTATTACACGAATACAAAACACAAAAAAATATTCTAAAATACAAAACAGATATTTTAAATTGTAATAATATTTCACAAAATTAATATTTTAGTATTTTGGATTAAATAAATGCAGGCTTGATAATATAGACTTTCAATAACATGTTAAAAATATTACCGATCCCAAACCTGAACGGTAGTGTATTTGATAAAATTTAGCACTCATAGGGAAATATGATAATGTTTTGTAATTATCATTTAAATCTGGCTAATTTTCAAATTGTTTGTCATAATTAAACATCTCAGAAAAATGTTATGGCGTAATGGGGCATAATTGTCATACATGTCTTCTGTAGAGGATACCAAGACAAACATCATGCTAATCAGGCATTTTGGGGAGACACAACAAGTCAATAAGGAAAGAAATTATAGATTGATATTCCTATGAAAAATGTTGCCAAGTTATTACTCCCATTATTACACTTCTTTTTCCATTATGGTTTGCCCCAAGAACACATTAATATGCGATGCAATGAATAGACACATTGTATAGAATGGGAAAACCCATTTATGGACATTTTACGCACATATTCCATAAGGTACAGTCATAGTAGTATATCAAATAATTCTGTTATATCTTTCATAACATAGTTGAGAATCATCTTTGTACAAAGTTTGGCTAAAAATGGCCTGATACCTAAAAACTTGAAAAATAATAAATGAAAAAATAAAACATTGTTTTTGCCTATACGTACCTTTTCATGTCTATTTTATTATTATTTTTTTTTACTTAGTCCTGGCGTCCTCTACAAAGGACATAGAATAAAATATGAATAAAATATTTTTTTTAAAATGTTTTCTCCATTTGTTTCTTATGCTCCAACCAATGTAATGACAAAAAAAAACAAAATTCACAAAACTTTTTTTTTATGGTTCTCAGGAGGATATGAATATTCTGCGAAATAGTGCAAAATATTAGGTTAAATATAAAGTATATTGTTTTTATACAAGATATTGTTTATGTACACTGACTATAAATGAACATTTTTTTATGTTTTTTTTTTGTGTTTTTTTTAAATCCCTGTAGGGAAAATTAATGGGAAAGATACTTCCAGAACCAAGGCATCTAAAAAAGTGGGCGGTTACTGTTTTGCTCTATGGAGCCAGTTTAGATTCACTTGCATTGACCTGCTGCTCATGTGCTGAGTGGTAATTGGCACAGTTGAGACTGTAAGCTGGCTGAATGCTGAGTGTGTATGTGTGCGCCTCTCTCTCTCCCTGCAGTCCTGGCCACATGCCCGCTTTGTTTCTCAGCATCAGTGTGCCCTTGCTTCTTTCAGCCCAGTGCCTCACATCAGAGTCTTCTGGGGGGCAAACACAGGGCATAGACACTTTATTTAACATTTGCACTGCTCTGTTGTTTTTCCCTTTCTTTTTCTTTTTTAGGACCTGTGTTAACTATATAGAACATTTATCTATGATAAAATATGGTCCAGAATATCACACCATTAGTATTGTTGACATACTGTACTTCCATAAGCTTTAAGATAGGTAACAAGAGCTGCGTTTGTGCGATTTGGGCTGTGGTTGTCTCCTCATCTTCCTTTCACATGCTTCTCAGCTCTCAGAGAGGAAGTAATCTTTGGTGTTATTGCTTGAGCCCTTTCCAATGTAAACAGTAATTGAAGTCGATGCCATCAGGAATGCCATTTAAAGACATTAACAGCTATAATGACTGAACAGTCTGACTCATAGATTACACTGAGCACTTCAGCACTCACTGAAAATAAGGAGGGAGATTGTGGAAACACATTGCAGGCAATTACTCATGCAAATATGGAAGGATCCGACGAGAAAAAAGTAAGCAATAAAACAATGATAACTTGTTACAGGAAACTAAGGCTGTTCTAAAGGCTTTCTAAAGAGCAAAATGTTTTTGTTCCGTTTCACTCCTTTTATAGGACTTCATAAAATCATTTCGTATCCTGCTGACTGAAGTAGGCCTGGAGGTTAAAAAACTTTAAGACTAAAGCTAGTTCAGTTGTAATGCTCACACATTTGGAAGATTCTATTAAAACAGAAAGCTTATCAGATTATATTAAGTAAGAAGAAAAATCCTACAGGAGGCATGGCAGGACTTTTGTTCTTCAGTTGTCTTGTCTGATATGGTGTGTGTGTACGACAGGAATGCTTCCTGCAAAGCATCTGATGATGAAGAGCAAGCAGCTCTAGATCCATTATACATTTACTGGAAATGTCTGGCCATATTAGCGCTGTTTATGTCCAAAATAGACATAAAGCAATTACACAGGTCAGTTCCTCTCTTTCAAAGCTGGTTGAAAATACACATGCTTTATTGTCTGGGTTGATTCAAGGATATTTTAACATTCTTATCTTTCTTTCAGAAAGAAAGGAGATTAGTATGTGTACAAACAGTTTTTATGTTCTATAAAGTAAGTAACTTTAAAACACTCTTCATTTTTTGAACACACAATGCAGTAAGAATGCTCAGTATTATGGCCATTAAGTATGGGCAGTCGTGGCATAATGGTTAGAGAGTCGGACTTGTAACCCAAAGGTTGCAGGTTTGAGTCT